GACTTGGCTGTGCCTCAGGCTGGGGAACAGGAGGTTGGGGCTGGTCCTAATCGGAGGTAGTTCATCGGCTATGATAGGATCAAAAGGTGAGGTGGAGAGGTAGGGAGGAGGAGGAGGGGTGGAGGCCCCTGGTGGGTTGGGATCCCATGAAACTGACTTAGCCAGAAGAACCTGATAGGAAGAACATGGGACACAGAGGGAGGGATTAGCACAGAGATCAAAGAAAGCTTGGATGTATGGTAATTCGGACTGTTTACTGTTACCATGACAGAAATTTTCCAAATCTCTCAAAATATTGATGTCTAAGGTTCCACTGTCTGGCAAATAGAGTCATTATCCAACTCATACTGAGGCCAGGCAGTCGTGCACAGGAACTTCAGGCATTTTGGCCTGATTGTATCTGAAAGTTCTAGTTGTTAAGGATTTAAGAAGACAAGCAAGACGTGTGAGATGCTGAGACTTTGAGTGGGTGGTACCCATAGCGACAGATTATGTACAAAGTGAAGAGGAGATAAAGAACTGAGCAAGCAGGTAGGAGGTAGAGACAGAACCAAGCAGATGGGAGGCAAAGAAAATCCTCTCTCCAGAGGGAGTGGAGGCAGGATTACAAGTCTGGGCAGGAAAGCACAGCAGACGAGGAAGAGAGAGACGAGGAGGAAGTAGGAGGAGAATGGTTTGGCATTGGTCACGCAAAACGAGAATGAGGAGAACCAGGCATCAAAACAAAGCATCCTTTTTTTTTTTTTTTAGCACAGGTTCAAGTACGGGTTTGAGTTATTTCCAAGTCCCAGAAGGCAGCATCCCACAATCAGATCATGAGGGAGAGGAAAGGCGAGATCCTGTCCTAGTTAGGAAGTAGTGTGTGTTCCTATCTCTGGAGATAGCATCCCATATCCAGAGAAAGGAAGTTGTTTTCCGACACACCTGTGTGATTTCGAGGCAAGCGAGACGAGTGGAAAACCATGCAACGAGAATGTGGCATGACCAGCCAGTAAATGGAGACAAAGTACAAGGAATGGGATGGGAGAAAAGTGGAATAAAAACTACAGTGAACTAGAAGGAAGGGAAGCTTGTGGAATGAGTTGATCCTGAGATTTAGTAGAGGCTAAGGGAAGATGAGCCCCAGAAGGGCAATGGTGTGTGTGTGTGTGTGAGAGAGAGAGAGAGAGAGACTCAAATATAGTTGTATTGATTACATAGTACTAATGGGTTCTGAATTGGCAGCATTTTATACTGTTGAACGATACTCTATACATCTTTTCTTCTCGATTTTCAAGTTTCTCCTGGTTTTATGTCTGTTTCTTTACAGAGCTGTTCATTTCTCCATGATTCTCTATACCTTAATTTAAAGTCAACTGAATGGAAAGGTCCTGTGAAATACTACTCTTTATTCATTAGGATGCAACTTTGCTCTAATTTGTGAGGGGAAGGTCTACCTGTCACAGTAGCTCTAATTAGTAGTTTCTGTCATCTCTTTCTTCTGATCTCCAAAAATAACATATCTGAACATGATCTACATTCAACAGGATGCTATAAAATAAGAGAAAATGAGGGCTAAGTGGTGGAGGGGGAGAAAATGTTTCTTGAAAACTACTGAATCGTTAGACACTTCACAAAGCAATGTCTTGGCATTACAATATTTGATACTCACAGAAGTTTAACCAAAGGTTATTAGACTGCTGGACAAAAGGAAAGAGGTGGTGGAGGGCCACACGAAATTGATTCCACTTGCATGAGAGCAGGAACGGGAGTTTAGGCTTCGCCCAACTGAAGCCTCACTCCATCACACGCCTCCATGCTGCCCGCAGCCCATTGGCGTCTCCACCCACCTGACTTCCTCCTTCCTTCACATACTTAGAGCTTTCCTTTGCAGTGTTCATTGAACTCCAGTCTAGTCTTCACTTTCATTGCCCTTCGAGTAGCTAACAGACCCTAATGCAGAAAGAATTTTAATCAGAGTTGAGTTTCAGACACTGGATCATCAAAAGTTGATTGTGATTTCGATCTATTCTGTTATTGATGGCAACAAGATGCTGTTGTAATTTGCATAGGCCTGCCAACAAATGTGGATACTCCCCTGGAGGCATCTTGGCTCTAATGTCCTAAAACCATCTAAAAAACATCGATAAATATATTAGTGAATGATTTGATTCAGTAGTATGTGTGAATCCCTGGGTGAAAGGGTTCGGGTTACTTATCCCTGACACCAGTGGCATCTACCTTTCTTGTGATGGGTCCTGTGTGTTCCTATTGAGTTCCAGTCATGCCTAGGTTCCTTATGGATAAGCAAAATTAGTCAACTAATAAAGGTGACATGGGAAAAAGAAGTTAGAATTTCTTAGGGAAAATGAAACACAATCACTTGACTTGCTTATTTACAAACACCATAGTTTATTTAGTTTTAGCAGATGGTAAGCTAATTGCTTAAATTTTATGTCTACAACATGCATTAACTACATAACATGTATCAAATATACATAGTAAACAAATAGAAAAACAGTTATTTTAATCAACCTTCTTCACAAGCATCACAGGTAACTAAATGTCTATATTGAAATTATCTTAATGTAATGGTTCAACTCTGTTTGTTAGACCAAAAGGTATATGAAATTGTTGATCAAATTCATGGACTCGTGGACCAACCCTCTGTTTCATTTTGTGACTGAACTGGAACACATGAAAGCCCCTCAGGCTATCCTCTCAAAAGCCAAAAGTATGAAAGAAAGCAGCAAGGACCTCGTGGCTGACATGAAGTGGATAATGAGCAAGGTGAGCAATCTCTGTACAGTTCTTGTCCTTTCTGAAAGAGGCGGGGTCTGTAATGAGATGTGAATTTTGAAATACCTCAGTTTGCAAGCGTGGAATTTTGACATCTGATCACATGACGATCTCACCCTTGAGGTATTATTTACAGCTCCAAACTTCTCAGAGATGACCCCCTTGGCACTTCTCTCCCGGGATCCGAGTGACACACAGCTGTCCCTCGCACTCATTGGGATGGAGATTTTCCTGGGGGGAGTGAAGGACTCCTTCAGCAGATCCTCTTACAACAGTCATCCCTAGACTCTGCACGTAAAGCACTAAATACAACCCTTATCATGTGGGAGACTTTCATACATAAATCACATGAGAACAGATTTAGTCAAAAGGTTTAAAAGCATAGTGTTGCACATCAGAATCTAAAAATACAAAGATATGGAAGAGTTCCCTGAAGGAGAGAACTCACGCGTCAGTTCCTCTGGTGTCTCATGATCAAGCATGTGTCTGTGCTCAGATAGAAGCATGCATAGTTCTTTTAGGGTGATTGTGCATCAGAAAAACTATGCAACAGTCGTGAAGTTAGATTTTTAAAGACATAGATTTAGGGACTCCTGGTTTAGATACATGAAAATCCATACTTTGGGTGAAAGTATTACATTTTTAAATTGGACATATAAGATGAACCAGGAGGAAAAAATATTAACAACATGAATAGGTGATGATACCTTTGATCTTTAGGTTCATCCTGATGCACAAATGAAAGAGAACTACCCCGCCTGGCCTGAACTTTCCTCTCTGTTGGGAAAGAATAAAGAGGGTCAATATCTGGCAGTTTTCAACCTGGTCAGCTGCCTGCGTGGTGATTCAGGGAAGACTGTAAGCCATCTCAAGTTTCTGAAGTGCCGGGTAACCACGAACAAAGATTGCTAAGTGCGCACCCCTCCCACCTTCAGCAGAGACAGTCCTTGGTGATTCGTGGCTGAGAAATTTCTTAATGTTATCCCTTTTGAATGCATGCATGGGTATAATTGGTCTCTTCTTAGAAAATAAAATCACTCTAGAATCGTCAAAATAGAAAAAGACCACTTTGTCTTTGTCTGTTTAATAGAATTTCTATCAATACCATTTGGGTGTTTATCAAATTCATCAGAAATAATAGGTGATAAGTTTGCACATAGTAGGATCTGCAACTTACTTTAGTCCATTTATTTAATAATTAACTAGTCCACTTATGCTCACAAGAAATAAAAACTTCAAGTTGAGCTTGATGGTGTACATGTGTGTTCCCAGCAGATTTCTGTGAGATCAAGGCCTTTAATCCTAGCAATTCAGAGACAGAGGCAGGTGGATCTCTGTGAGATCAAGGCCAGCCTGGTCTACATAGTGAGTTCCAGGTCAGCTGGAGCTACAGGGAGAAACTGTCTCAGAAAACAGTGTGTGTGTGTGTGTGTGTGTGTGTGTGTGTGTGCATGTGTGTGTGAATGATCTTTATAAGTGGCAAAATCTAATAAGCAAATTTGCCACATTTCTTTTGTCTATTAATAGAAATTCTGTCAATATTGCTGGGATGGTCCAAATGAATGTGTCAGGAGAGAAATGGGGACTGCAACAAGCCAGACAGAGCACAGCACACTTTAGTAAACTTACAATTACTTTCACAGGAAAGTTATGTATGTCAAGTTATTAGAATTGAAATGACAAGTTCTTATTAATCAGCCCATCCATCCAAAAGATGATAATAATGTCAGATAATTATAGAAAACCAGGCTGTCTATATGAGACATTTTCACAATGAAATCATAGTGAATTCCAATACTATGCTTCTGCAATGCCCTTAAAGACCATAAAAATTTAAATGATAGTAAATGTTAGGATACAAATATTAAATGCTACATTTCTCAAATAACTTCAACCCTTCTTCTTAGAATTGAAACCAAATCAGCATCATTATAAATATATTCTATATAGTCTCTCTGTGTGGCAAATATTTTCTCTGTGTTCATATCATTTCATAAATTCTTAAGCACTCTACCATTATATCTGGACTTTCTTAGAATTTTTCAGAATAGGAGAGAAATTAAGAAATGGAAAAATTCTGACATCACTAACCTATGAGATGTCATCTAAAAGTTATACGTGGGTGACAAAGGTCAAAATTGAATTACCTCCTCTAAGTGTCAAGTGCCACTCTCTCTGGACACATGTCTCTCACCTGTGCAGACACATCAGCACTCTGCGTCCTGACCGGGAGAAGCTTCCCACCTAGTCTCCCCTATCTTCGCCATCTCTGCCCCCTGCCCCTCGCTCTGAAGGCACACTGGGAGAGAAAGGTGAGGAACTCTGCTTTCTGCAACTGCACACACGGTTCTCACGCATGACAACCTCCCAAACACTCGAGTGGCAATAGCACAGACCTCAGGACCTTCCTCTGGCTCTACTCCCTCTGTTCATGTAGCTCTCACTGAATCAGAGTAGAACTCATCAGGAGACATTTCCCTGAGGAATCAGATGTGATTCTTCCCTTCTTTGAACATCATGAGTAACTGTTTTTCAACAATTAGCTTAAAGTCATGCACAAATGCTCTTTATGGAGCCACTAATCATAGCACCCCTTACATTGAGAAAATGCTTAAAATTCTACTTAATCTGTGTCCTAGTTTGCTTCTGCACTGCTGTGACAAAACACTGACAACTACCAAATTGAGGAAGAAAGGGTTTATTTGTCTTACATCTCTTGGGTCACAGTTCATCAGGGAGCCCAAGGTAGGAACTCAGGGCAGGAACCTGGAGGCAGGAGCTGAAGCACAGGCCATGGAGGAACACTGCTTACTAGCTTTCTCCCCTGGCCCCTGCTCAGCCTGCTTTCTTATGCAACACAGGCCCACCTGCCCAGGGATGGCACCACCCACAGTGGGCTGGGCCCTCCTACATCACTCAACAATCAAGAAGACGCCCCACAGACATGGCCACACGTCAGTCCTATGGAGGCAATTCACCAGTTGAGACTCCCTCAACCCAGGTGTGTCAAGTTGAGATTAAAGCTAGCCAGCACAATCTGTAAGAAAATAAGTGATTGGCTGACCATAGTTTAACTGTCAGCTCCCACTAAATGTCCTAGAATGTAGGTTATTATTAAGGTAAGACCCCCTTAAGATGATCCTGAGACTGATTTTAGACCAGGTAAAAGGATCCTTTCGTTCTCTCTGTTGTTTTACTTTTTCAAAAAGTTTTAAAATATTTTTATTGAGTTTGTTGTTGTTGTTTGTTTGAGGAAGGGTCTCCCTGTAACCCTCACATCCTGGAACTCATTATGTAGAACAGGTTGGTCTTGCTCTCAAAGAGATTCACCTGCTTCAGCCTCCCCAGTACAGGGATTAAAGGCATGAGCTGCCAAAGTAAAATGAGTAAAAGGTAGTCATAAAGGATAAGATACTATGAGCATAATAAACCTGGTAAAACTGAAATCTACAGCTGAACACATTCAAGGAAACATATTGTTACTGAATACGAAAGAATCCTATCTCAATGGACAAGAAACAAGAAATGAATATCAAGAAAAACTACAGAAGCTGCACGAATACAGGAAGACTGGACAGCACCATCTTCAATGTGTCACTGAAGAGATCCAGAAGGACATAACAAAAGTTTCTAGAAATACATGAAAATAAAAGCACAAATAACCAAAACTTTGGGCATGTATTTTTGGCAGTTCTAACAGGACAGATTACAACTATTAGTGCTTACATTAAATAAAGCATCATAAAGATCTCATGTAGACAAGATAACCACACACTTCAAGGTTCTGAATGAAGAAGACCTATCCAAGCCCCAAATCAGTACATGGCAAATGATAATTAAGATCAGGACAGGGATTCGTGAAACTGTGACTGCACGAGCAATGTGGAGAAGTTATCAAAAAGAAAAGGAGTTGGTTCTTTGAAACCATACAGAAGATTGACAGACCCTGACTGAAAGTCACAGAAAGGGAATTTCTAAAGGAACAAAATCATAGTTTAAAAGAATAGGTACTTACTATAGAGTCTAGTGTCAAGGATCATCAGGGAATAAGTTGAAAATTCACACTCCAAAAAATTTAAAAGTCTGGAAGAAATGGATAAATTCATTTATACATGTGAAGTACCAAAATTAAAGTAAGAAATTATGATTATTTTAACAGATTCATAAAATCAACTTGATTGAAACAAAAATCAAAACTTCCTGTAAAAAAAAAACAGAGCAGTCCAGAACAAGATGGATTCACTTACAAAGTCTTCCAAACCTAGGAAGCCAAGTTCAATATTCCTCTGAATGTCCAGTAAGGAGAAAGTAATCAATAGATGCCCCTTATCTGACGCCATCACTGTGCTAGATAAGATACAAAAACCACAACAACAAAAAAACCTTTAGAGCAATTTCCCTGATAAACATAGATGGCAAAATTATGAATAAAATATCCACAAAGTGAATTTAAGAAGACACCAAGAATGCCATGAACCATGACAAAATTAAATTCGGTTCACTATGCATAAATCAATAAATGCAATTCATCACATTTAAGGAAAAAAGTACGCAGCCATCTCAATCAATCCAGGAAAAATATTTGATAGAATTCAACAAATAAATATTCAAGCGAGAATGCCCTGAAGAAACAAGGAATAGAAGAAACACACTTTAACATAATGAAAACTGTGTGCAAGAAATCGATAGATAACATTGTTCTAAAGGGACCAAACCTTTAAATCTGATACTGGAAAGAGTGGCGGCTGCCTGCATTCTCATTTTTACCGTGCCCAAAATAGTTAAAGAAAAAAACAAGAGAAAAGTTATTTGGCAACACATGTACTAGTAAAAGGCTGGTAGCCAATCGATGCTCATTTTTTTTGAGGCAGGATCGCACTGCATAACCAATGATCACATTTTAAGTACATACTTTATATATATCTTCTAAAATTTCGTGGCACAAACAATAAAGGCCTAAAACTGTGGGAAATGAAGTTTTCATTATGGATTGCTATGTATGTCAATTTTTAAACTTTGTATATCTGTCATAAGACACGATGAAAGCAGCACATTCTAGTGCAAGAAGCCCATAAACTAGAAAATAAATGCATTAATGTTATGCTGAAACTGCTTTGATATTCCCTCTCACCCCCAGCAGAACGGCTGTCACCTAGAAAACAGAAGCCGATGATGAAACAACACTTGAAAACGACTGATGGGAAGGATAGATCCACTATCCAAATCACCAGGGAAGATCCGTGAAAAGCATGAATATAAATAAAAACAGAGCTACCTCAGGATCCGACTACGCTATTCCTGTGTTTATTTTCAAAGGAGTCTATTGTAGTCAGAGGATGAAGGAACATCTCTTACTCCCACACTGTCCAGAACCAGATTAAGATTTTATTTTCCGATTTTATCTGTATGTATTCTTTGCACCGAAATGTGATTTTCTATTGTAGGATAGAATATATAGAGACTCTGTAAGCTGATACTTCCTACTCCGTGGTGCAGAAGTCATTCTCTCCAGTGATATACCTGCAGAGCTCTGTGTCTGATAAAATAACAAGTAATATCAAATATTTCCTCATTTAAAGTGAGGATTCGTGAGTTACCTCAGTGCTATGTACATGATAATCTCAGCTTTCCCTTGTCTTATTGCTCTGACTGAGCTTTTGACCTTTTACAGTTAATAAGGTTGAAAGAGTGGGTTTACTTCTTCTGTTTTAGATTTTCAGAAAAAATTGTTGTCATTCCACAAATGAAAATAATAATCTTGGATACAGGCTTGTCATATAAAGATAGTACGTTTCTTCTACACCTAGGTTCCTCAGGGCTTTCATTGTTAAGAAATGTTGAATGTCACCTGAAGTCTATTCTGCATCAAAATGGACATGTGATTTGTTTTTTGTTTTGAGTATTTACTAACACTATTGCATTATTAGCTCACATTTGTTGTGCAATCCTTGCATACTGGCTATGAAAATAACTTGAACAAGGTCAATAATCTTTTCAATGTACTGCTAAATTTGGTTCAGAGGTAGGTTTTT